GAGAGAGAGAGATGTTTGGATGTTTATATGTATAATATTTATTAATTACATATTGACTTTTTGCATAAGAAATTTAAAAAATGTCTAAAGAGACTTTCTATTGTGGATGAGACATTGGAAAAACTTGGATCAATAACGGATTATCAGAAATTAAATAAGAGAATAACATGGATTATCTTAGGATGGTTTATACTAATTTTATTATTAAACTATTGTGATTATATACGGTGGCGAGATACATATAATGCTCTAACGTCCATCTATTTAACATTTATGTTAAACTATTGTTCTGATATCAACATTATTGATGATCTAATTTTTGCAAGTATTCTTGGGTTGGTATAAATATAAAAGTTATCGCATATAAAAATATTTTTAGTAATCTATGTATAAATTTATATTATTTAAAAAAACTTATGTTTTTAAAACTAATTATCTTTTTAAAAACTCTTAAAAATTACAGTATATTGCTAATCTTTTTTTATACATTTTTTATACATTAGATACTTAGAATGGAAGTTTGATCAAGTTAACGAACATTTTCATAAATTAGTGACAAAAAATGCATATGAGATAAAACAAGTTTGGGAAAAATCTATATTGCATTCGCAACAGCGCAGATTTCCGAATGCTCCAAACAGAAAATATATGACATGGATCATAATGTAAGTTTAATCATTTTTACGCAATCACTTTTATGAATCTGCATAATAAAATTATTTATTATATTCATATTACAGACATCTGCATCTGGAATTATATAAAATATCTCATGAAATAAATTCAATATTTGAAATACAAATGACTTGCAAGATGATATGCTATTTCGGTTTTATAGCGGAATTTTTCCGTGAACTTTTCACTGCAATATTTGTCAGAAATTACATTGTTAATAAAAAAATCTTAGTTGTTACTATAATCATATTGTGGCTAATTTGGTATCTTTCCAGACTTGTTTTAATCAATTACATGTGCGAGAGAGTTAGTACAAAGGTAACACTTTTATATTCAAATTTAAAATGCACAATTATTTTAAATTATATTCAGTAATTATATAACTACTAATTGAGATTTAATATTGTAAATTTTACAAAATTAAGAATAATATTAATTTTACTCTAATTTTAGGCAAATACAACAAGCGATGTTATAAATAAAATTTCGTATTTCTCCTATGATGTAGAAGTACATGAAAATGTAAGTTTCAATGTAAAATTAAAAGTTGTTATTACCTAAATTTACAAAACTTTCATTTGAATTTTAATTATGTAAATTGAAAATCAATGACATATTAAATTATTTATTATCTTAATATAGATCTTACAATTTTTATTACAAGTGACAAAAACGCCACTCAAATTTTGCGGACTTAGACTTTTCCAATTTGGATATAGATTCCTTTATAGAGTATGTTAATAATCCATTATTATTTTATTTATAAATATACCGAATTTATACATATATTAATTATATTAAAAAATTAATATTAATTTTTTTATAGTACTTCGAATCTATTCTGACACTTGGAATTATATTAATACAAGCAGACAGATTCAAGGTTACATTGAAAAATTATAGCTAAATACGATAAACAATCTTTCAATATTAATTAATATTCAATATTTAATATACTATTCTAATAAATATTTTAATATTTATAGAGAAATTCTTTTGTTTTTATAAAACTATTAAAAAATATAAATTAAGTTTTATCATATTATATCATATTTTTATTTTTCTTATTTTATTTTTTCTTTTTATCTTTCTCGTATTATTTTTATCATATAAAAGCAATTTTATATATTTTAATATACAAAAAATAAAATTATTATTAAAAAATAATGATGTCAATAATAGAAGAATTTCTCTCATATACATATACATATACATATTCTCATATACATATTATATATACTTTCATATACATCTTATTTTAATTATTATCTAACATAATTTAATACTAATTGGACAACTGACAAAAGAAATGAACAGATGTAATTAATGAATTAATTAACGAATTGCACATAATCAGATAAGCTCATTAATACCTGCATTTATGCATGTAAGTTTATTATATTATATATAATACATAATATTATGTTCATTTATATCTCTTTCAAAGGCATGTTGTTGAAATACATCATTAACTTGCTATTAAATTTAATTTTATACAGTAGTAATTATTATCTGAACATTGCATCAATTCACATAACGTCATGTGAATAAAGATTTTTCACAAATTTTGGTTATAAATTCACACTAGCTAACATTATAAATAAATTAATATAAAAGTATGATAAAATATTAAT